ATAATGGTGATTTGTTATTGCAATTGTGAATTATTTATAATTGAACATTAAACTTAATATTTGTGATTGGTGATTATTTATGAATCATAAAATAATGATTATTTGCGTTAGATTTAATAATGAAGCAATCCATTGAACATTGAACCGTAAATAATAGGATAATGAAGAACGATTGAAGATACAAAAAAAGAAAGACGCGAAATGTCTCGATCTTGCTTTTCCCTTTTAAATCCGCGTTTGTATACGTTCAATGCTCACTTGACAATCAACTGGCAAAGTGGTCGGTGACGAGGTCGACGACAAAGCCGAAGAAAAGTGAAAATAAATGGCGATCGTCGAGGACCGAGTTTAAAGCTTCATTCAGATTGCTCAGTGAATTCGAAATCGTCCTATTATCGTCCGTTTCGTTATTGCATTTCAAAAGGATATAGAAAGTGAAGCAGTGGAATGTAATAAGATGAGAAATGAACGAATATTCACTCTTCCTAAGAAATCATTTATTTACTATTTCGATACTTTGAAAAATCCAAATGATAATTAAAACAAATCCAAAATTCACACGTTCACGGTTATATTCATTCGGAGAAACGTATTATACACGAAAACGATATTATATTTTCATCTAATCGCAGAAATCACGACAGCTATTAAGATCGAAAGATTTCTTCGAAATAACTCGAATCTTTTTCAAATTATGATTGTAATTCTCACGTTCGATGCAATACGTGTCTTTAACAGCAAGTCATTCTTCAAAATCTTTCGATTAACCATTGTTCTTTCAAATCGTAAATACGTATTAACAATAATTACAAATTCATTATTTTTCCACAAAAAAGTTCTTTGATGAAAAATCTAATATCGTTTAGCATCTTAAACTCGTTCTTTGACTACGCTTTCTTTATTCTTTTCTTTTTTTTTTTTTTTTCAACTTAGACTAACAAGAACGAATACGAATTTACGTCAAGGGTAAGTCCAATTATCCCCTTTTCTTTCACCCCTTTTACCAATTTAACTTTAATTTCCCCATTTAATTATTTGAAGTTCGGAACGATCATAAGGTGAGACGATAATTGACTGGAAAAGGTCCACCTAGGCAAAACTCGTCATTACAAATTTCTCGAAGTAACGTCGACGAATGAACGAAGTCTCTCAGTTCTGCTCTTTCTCTACAATTTTACGACCCTTTGGAGAAAATGATCGCACTAATTTGACGGTCACATACCTACCCTTTTCGAAATAGTCACGTCGCCAAGCCACTCACTCTCTCTCTCTCTCTCTCTCTCTCTCTCTCCCTCTATTTTTCGATAAAATCTGAAAGCGTCAAATTAACGAGCAGGAAAAAATAAATCAGCTTAAACGAAACTTGTCTACGAATGATTATTTCTCTCAATCTACAAACTGTCCCTTCGTTCTTTTACTTTCATTTATAAAGTAAAAAGCAAACGTAAACATTTGAACGATGGTAAGAAGAAAAGATGAGAAAGGGGATTGGTAGGGGGAATCGAGACAGGCTGTGCAGAATAATTGTAATTAATTGCCTTTACGTTCGCGAAAGCGAGAAATGAAAAAGACCGGGACTTTAGAGACGTTCGAATTAATGCGAAATGAGTATGCGAAACTTATATAATATCGTCGTTAATGGAGTTTTCGCGATGCAATTCGCGAAAAGTTTATGTGCACTAAGATTCTCGCATTCTCTCGTTATAGTTGAGTAGAGAAAGCAATGGTATGACAGGTGCTGCGTTAAGAGTGCTGCATAAAGGAAAAGAAAAGAAAAAGGAAGAATGAAAGAAAGAAAGAAATAAAGAAATAAAGAAAGAAAGAGAGAGAAAGCGAGTGAACGATATACCTTGAGCACAATTAAATTAAATGGCACTCGGGCGCGGTTCTTACGTTATAATCGTCGTTTTAATAGCAACGGTAATTAAACCGAGCGTAATTGATTTACGCATACTCTTTTCCGCGGGTAGTAAACGGAATCTGAAAGGGCGTTGAATGGGGTGGAAAAGGGTAAGGTTCAAGTTAAAACGGACAATGCAACGTTTACTTTATTTCACTCGCGTAAGATATTTTACATCTTCAATCACCTATTATCTCACTTATTCCCTTTATCTTATTTCTTTATAATATTTTTACCACTTCTAATATCCAAACAAAAATATATCTACTTATATTAGGAGTTACTCGTGTGTGCTCGTCAATAATTTATTATAATAATTACAACCAGTAGCTCGTGCCGATTAGGATCTTTCGTTCTCGGCATGATTGAGCACCGGAGGGACTTTTAATTTCTTCACTCACTCGTTATATCACATTAACTATTATATCACATATATGTGGCATTTTACAATTAAAACGACGCATTTATGAAATATTAACAGTTAGTATTAGTTCTGTGATGACTCCAAAACAACTCCTATTTCGTAGAAAATAGATTGGCTGCATAAATCGTCAAGAGCCATAGGAAAATTTTTTGATGATTTTCCTTGACGATGCACCAGCGTGAATCTAATAACGCGAATAACGCGAAATTGTAAACGTAGTATAAAGTTTACACAAGCGATGGGCTTTAAACTAACGAGTGGTAGAGAGACAAAAATAAATGAAATAAAAATTGTTTAACTAAATAATAAATTCCAATGTATTCGATTGATAACGTAGACAGATACATACACAGCGCATTTTCGCATTATTCCTTCAATAAAATAAACTTTAAATATAATCTCTTTACGCGCGTTCGGATGACGTTTAAAACGAACTATTTCCTTTTCCTTTGCTTTCTTTCTTCTTCTTCTTCTTTTTCTTCTTTTTTTTTTTTATCTATATTTTTCTATTTCATTATTTTTGTATAATAATTTTTTGTTAAGAGAATAACGAGGACCATTTGTGTAAGCGTCGCTTGTTTTACAATGGAAAGACCTTATCAATCGCACGTAGCAACATTTACAATTCAAACGAAATGTTGCTGATTGACAATTGGTCGTTGAGTTAACGTTAACAAGCCGACTATTAAGTTACCCACGCACGTGTCGTGTATGTCGTTATAAAATGTCCCCGCGAAGAAGACGTCAGAGAATTTATAAGAGGAGCCAATCATGTGACGCATTTTCTTGCCACGTTGTAAAAGAACCCTCCAAACGGATGTCTTTGTTAACACCTCCTTTTCCGATTGTTATTTATCATTATCTCTGTCGTAGATCGTCTCCAAACGATGATTAAAACCAAATACGAATAAACAATAAATATCTAACAGCTACTGCATTTATATATATATAACATACATCGATTAAAAACATCAAAGCTTAAAAGAGAATTTCAAACGCTTTTTTCTTGACATACAATCATTTCAATGATCCCAATTCTCCTAAATCATTTTTCTTGTTCTTTAATATAAATTAATCACAAACATCTATGACCCGTATATTGTACAGTCACGGTGATCATTACTACAACTAGAGGAAACAACGTGTTACGTTAGCGATAAGAGAGACTCGTGACAGAGATATATCCATAATTAGGTGTATATACATAGAGATAGATATTATATCTTGCTTTCATATTGGTCAATTTAATAATTGTTTTTTTTTGTTTTTTCTATCTCTCTGTGAACTTCGATGTAATACCCTGTATTACTTTTTAGTTAAGTCGATTATCAATAATAGATATATCATCGACCGGACGTAGAGATTTTTTTAATATATCGGGTGTGGCCGGAGAAAAGTTCATTCAATAAAATATCTTCGTACGTAAAAGGATTAAATAACATCGAATAGCGAATTATAACTACGAAAGATAGGAAAGTAACAAGAGCATCATAGATCAGTTCGATCATTTTTCGAACCTAATTCATCGCGAACGCGCCTCATAAGGAATAATAGTATTATTTCTACGTATATATATGTATGTATGTATGTATATTAAGTACAATGTATGTACCTTTTTATATCACGACACTTAACATATTATCAATTATATATGTCGTAGGTATAATCGAATTACTTTTTTGAGCAGCACCTGATTTTCCATGCTTTCTAAAAACTGATTCGCTTTTATATCGGAAAAGCACCTTCGTGAATTATCGCACAAGTCTTCGGAATATAATTATCGTACAATATATATAATATGTATTTATGCGTGTATAGTGTATATATATATATATATATATAGGTAATATATATATATATATATGTATAATATAATATATCTTTCTCTAAACGTGACAACGTATATAGGTATATATAATATATATGTATTATAGTTATAAGTATATATCAGAACTTTGTTTAGTCTCTTGCCGACCAGTCAGGATAAAAATCTGTCCGAAAGATATTTCATTGCTACGTATATGTATATATAATATGTATGAATATATATCTATATATATGTATTTAGTATACATTTTCTCTAACAAGGTATTTTTTCACACTAACGAGTCAACTACATACGATACAATAAGGTTCTGCTTCTTTTCCACTTTTTATCCAAACTTAATAAGATATATTCCTTCGTTTCTAAATTTTGGAAATAACAATTTTACTTCTTTTTTTTTTTATCTTTTTCAGCGAACAACATATTCGCTATTTATTATTATACTTTCCACGGTTCTTCCGTTGCGCTAAAGATATATGAAAACACCAAATTCGTTTGGAACTTTCCTCAAAATTACGAAGATTACATAAAGGCATCTATGAATGAATGTCCTTTAGGCCAGCACAGTCAATTTCTTTTTTTCTTCTTTTTTTTTTTTTTTTTTTTTTTTAGGAATTTTAACAAGTCTGTAGGAAAAAAGGAACGATCTTTAATCATTGATTTTTTTTAATATTACTATTTTTCTTTTCTTTTTAATCACAAGTCACGAAGAAAAATGTACAATTACAAATTCTTACGAAGGAACTGTACGTACACCCTGTTCAAAAGATTACGTTATTCGCGTTAATAAAGATATAACTATGAGAATGATTATCTTTTTTTAAAAGAAAAAATCTTGTATCATTTCTATGAAAAAAAAAAAAAAAAAATAGATCAAAGAGGAGAAGAAGGCAATCTTTTGAAATGTCTCTTGAATCGATTCAGTCAAACAGAGCGTACATCTAGTATTACTATAGTGTGATCGAAGTAATCGGTAGATTTTTCTATTTCTTTCTTTTTTTGTTTTTTTTTTTTGTTATATATAGCTCTTCGTTATATATTGCTCATAATCGGGCATGATATTTTCTCGTATGAATTTTAATCGATATAGAAATTTATAGAATATATTCTCTTTATATATTGCTTTCCTTTTCTCTAAACGCAACGAAAGTACTGTCAACTTTCAATATTAACAATCTTTAAATATATATATGTGTATATATATATATGTGTGTATATGTACGTAAACGTGATTGTATATACGTATATATCTATACGTAAACATCATTCTATATTATATTACTAATTTGCACTATCCCACTAATAAAAGACTATTTTGTAATGATTTTACTCCCCCCTCTCTCTTCTTCTCTCTCTCTTTCTTTTTTTTTTTTTCTTTAAATAGGATCTCGTTGTGTCATTAATATTCCGTCTTATGGGAACCCTTATCGTGACATACGACGTGAACCAGCCTTAAGTTCTTCAAAGTAAAGAGATTTTCATAAATATCGTATATGTCTTTCTCGTTTACCGTGTCTTGAAGTGACATACTAAGAAGCCTTGGCACGAGGGTCCGTGATCGTTCGATTCTGCAAATAATAAAAAGAAAAATATTTTTATTATAATATTATATAGTCAGATAGTGTGGAAAAAGGTTGACTATAATAGAACGGTATTTTCAAGTTCTATTTGAACCATCACTGTCCTTGCATCCGATATCGGATTTACGAGATATCGCGTGAAACATAAAAACGATAATATTCTTGTAAAACTTTGTCCTTCGTCTTTATTACGTCAGATTTACTCGGCTCCAAGTTTATTTTCAAAGGATTGTCAATCGAGTCGCATAAATTTAAATCGAAATCGTTACGAGAATAATGGGATAATACGATATTCGATAATGAAAAATATATCTTGAAATGTATGGAAGGATTGTACACGTGTTTCTTTACGATAAAACATGACAAGTTGACACGTATATATTAGTGTGTGGTAAAAGCTTAATGAGAGCACATTATAAAGAGGGAGAGTATAAACTCGGATGTATGGAGTCTTGTGTGTCCTTGGCACTGTAAAATAAAAAAAGAAAGAAAAAAAGAATGTTGAGGACGAACCTAATGCGTCATCGGCATTGAACGTGCTAACTCATGCACACACCTTGAAAACGGTATGCTATGGTAAATGCATTTTATCGATATCGTATATATATTGATTTATATATATATGCATACACATGTATTATAAACCCTCAAAAGATAAAAGATTCAAATAATTTTTGTTATCGAAATAATTTTCTTTTAGTTTAATACTTACTTTGATAAATAATTTGTCATATTATTATCATTAAATAGATGAAACAAATGAAATAAATGTACTCCTTATAATCTTACTTGTGATCCAAATTCCACGTGGAAAATAGAACAAGTTCCTCCCTCGATCTGTAAGGATTGATCCTATGTCTCGATCCATAAGCACATTCGTTTGAGTTCCAAACTCCTTCGCACCTAAATTCTCCCTTGCGATCGCAAATAGCTTTCTGTTCCTCTACCTTACGAAGTTTAATCCTAAAGGGACATTCCTCCTCATTTTCATCGTCCTGTTTTCTCTCGGCTGATACTTTGGTGATTTTCCTCGCGTCAACTTCGTCGTTCTTGAAATTATCCTCGATCCTTCTGACGTTTCCGAATAAACGAAAATGCGTGCTATCGTCCAAATGACTCAATTTGCAAGGACAATGATCGTAACAATTTGAAGAATCCACTTCGTCGAAATGTTTTTCCGTTTCGTTTGAGTCGTTTGATGCTCGACTTCTATCGAAATAATAACCAAAATAATGATCCTCTTTTAATTGCATTTTGAAAAAGGCTATGGTCTGTAATAATTGTTGTCGAGCTTTTCGATCATTTAAATATATATCCGAGGATCTTATCTGATCGATCGTTTTATACAAATATCCTCGTATCCTATCCTGACATCGTCGATGCATGTAAGCTTCCTATAAACAAAATTATATATTAATTGTTACACACAAAATTTTATCTACAATATAATATAATAAATTTGCGATAAAATAATGTCCTTGAAATGTTGAAATATTATTTTTCAATAGATATTTTTGAGCTCGAAATAAAGGGTTAGCTACACGTGATAAAATGGACATACATAAATATTCCATAAGTTTTAGCAGACGAAAAGTTTTCTCAGAGGCCTCACCACATTATCGGAAAACATAGGAGCCAAATACAGGAGCCACACCACGGTATTAACCTACTTAGAATTCTTGATCGAAAATCGACTTAAGAACGATCTACTCGAAACGTCACGAGTTCAGCTCGGATATCCTTCCTTTGAAATCGGGCCACGTATCAGCGAATAGCTCCATTTTGAAGCAGCTGTTCTCTTTTGAAACGTTCTTTTGATGCTCTTCCTTTTACATGTTACAAAAATACGCTCCCGAGTTTACCAGAGTCCCTCCCTTACTTCAATATTTTCTCTTCAATATATTATAATATAAAATATTCAGACAAACATGACTCACATACACATTCTTATTTATTATTCGTATATTTAATCACCCATTTTTACTTAAATATTCGATTGTGTCGAACGATAATCAAATGTTAAATGTAAAATAATCCCGAAGGAAGTTTTAATTAATTGTAAGAAAATGTCAATAAGTATTACTATCTTCGTATATTACAGGAAATTGTATAAATGCGATTACCGGTCCGGAGATTGTAGTGACATTTTAATAATAGTTAGAAGAATCTCGCGCACGCGCCCGTTGTGTGTGTGTCTATATGTGTGACTTTGAAAGTACCATAATTCGTAATAAAGTGACAGAGAGAGAGAGAGTGAAAGTGAAAGAGATACGTATGGATGCGTAGGTGTATTAGAAACACCTGACAAAGTGACAGCACCATATGCGATTCATAGCCAAGAGGGACAGAGATAACGAGTTAATTAATTACATGAACCAAGCAGATAGAGCTTCCGAGATTACAGGGAGAAACGAGGCAAGCGATAAGTGGGACGTTGAAACTCTCAAAGTGTAATACGAAACTAGACGTTAATTAACCCTCGCGATATCGTGAAATTGACACGATTTCCCCACGTATTCGATCGGCTCATTTCGTAGATAACTTAGGATCCTGAGTACCAATTGAAGATTTCCTAAATAAAACTCGCAGATATTTTATCGTTTACGATCATTATCGGCTACGGAAACTATTGAAATCTTGATCAAGTTCTTTATTCGAATATACCATTAATTAATCTTGTTATGGTTGCAAGCTAATAATTGGATAAGTTATTTTTTATTACTAATATTATTATTATATATTATTTTTGAAAAATAATCAAGTTATAACGAAGTTGTGAACTTTCGTGTTATCTTATCATAAACTATACGTTTTCGAAAGGATGTTGTTACTTAAGACAAATGGATAGAAATAGTTGAAGCGTATCACTCTCAAAGTATCTTCAAGTAATTTTCTTGTAACTTACCTTACTTGTATAATTAGTCTCTAGTCCACGAAACCACTCGGAATGTTCCTCTCTCAAGCTGAACGTTGTCTTGGAGTCATCCACGTTCAAGGCATTGTTCAAAACGGCGATCTTATTCTTAAGATTTTCTGTCAGAAATTGCGACACTTTGTCACCGGCGGTGATATATTCGATATTCACGCGTCTCAAAGTGTCATAAAGAAGATCAGCATCTAGGATAAACGATTATTACCGTGCAATCGTTAAAACTAATGAAAGAAAAATATTCAAAGTTATTCAACCAACCGGATAAAACTTTCTCTCCTGGTTTCTGCAAGATCAAGGTTGTTTGTGGTTCCAACGTATGAAAATAATCCTCGTCTACCAAGGATCCGTCAAGTAGAAAGACATTAACCTCGGCCAGATCGTTTGTTATCTAAAATAAAAGAACGCCCACGTGTAATCGCATAATCGATTTTCTTCTTCAGGTTTAGACTAAAATTAAACCGGAATATATACTTTTTCCCTCTCATCAGGTAGCTACCACTCGAAACACAAATAGTATTCTTACTTAAGATTTATTATTAATCGAGCGTAGGATTAATAATAAAAAGATAAACAACAAGGATGTTTAAAAACCTCCTTTGAACATTTTAATATTACTGTTTAAATCTAAACGATTTTAATAAGTAATATGTTCCACTTTGTAAAAAAGTAAGTAAAGTTTTTATTTTCCATCTACTGGATGACTTCGTCGTTTTCAAATTGATCAAAAGAAAGTTAGAAAACAAATTCGAAAATGAGAAATTTTCTGTATAAAAGATAAATGCGGTAAAAAGTGCGATAAGAAAAGTAGCTCGAAGAAAAGTATGAATCCGCAACGGAAGCAAAGGATTGGTACAGTGCCGAGACGAAGAAACGACCTTGGCATTGGGGTTGCTCTCCCTGTCCCTGGCCCGGATGGTTCGATAGAGCTACATGCAGCAGGCCAATAGGATTTGCTCCCAAGGTCATACTGCAAACGGATTAATCTATCCGCAAAACGTTACACTCTTTTTCTAATCCCTTCTATTAAGATTAGGTGTCCTTTGAAGAGACAAATCGAAAATTCATGAAAGTAAGAGAGAGAGAGAGAGGGAGAGAGAAAGAAAGACAGAGATACAAAGAGAAAGAGAATAAATATGAAAAGAAACTATTTGAGTCTGATAAAGAGGAGTAAGATTTTAGTCGAATCGAATCGAACGGATCAGCCGTATTGAAATTTCAAATCGTGTCCGCAACTCCTGAATAGAATTAAAAGTACCCCTGGTACCTTCCTATCGAGCTATCTGATGAAAGTACTTCCTTTTCCTTCTTCTTTTAAAGCTCTTTTTTATATATATATATATATATATATATATATATATATATATATAAATAACCGAATCGCGATGTATTTGTGTATAAGTGATATTTTATATTGGATATATTTATAAATTAAATATAATCAAACTTTGGTTTAAGAACATGTAAATAAATAATTGAATTTTTCAATTAATGTTTAATTCATGTTTTTTTTTTTTTTTTGAAAATAACGAAGGAGATTTAACGCGTGATTTTATTTGAAAATGATATCCTGCCAATATCATGCATTGTTGATAAATCGTATAGTACTTTTTTCCCGAATATATTCATTAACAGCTGGTTTTCTCTCTCTTTATCTCTTTTTTATATTCTCAAATAAACGATAGCATGGAAATTCAAAAATATGCAACGAAATATTGTTATCGACTGTAGTAACACGAAATTGGAGCTTTTTTTCTCTCTTTCTCTTTCCCACCCTCTTTCGAACAGTGCATATTATCAGATTACGTGTTATTAAGACCTCGAATATGATAACTTTTAATGGGGTTCGAGTAAGTGGAATAGTTAATGTAATTATCGCTAAGAGTCATCTCACTTTATATCTTCTTCATAGATAAATGACAAGTAAATTCGCAAGAAATTTATTTCATTTTCTAGCGTGCACTATTAATGATAAGAAGAGTATAGGAGAACAAAATTTTCATGAGATTTATATTATGATACGTGTATTATACGTATACAATGATTATATCTTCGCAACTCATATTATTATTATTATTTTTTAAAATAGAAAACTTCATTTAACACAAAACTTTATTATTTTTTTATTTATTTATAAATCATTCCATGAATCATCAAAGGAGCGATTTTAAAATGAATCATTTTTAATCAAGGATTTAAAATGAAATTGATAAAATCGTAAACACGCTAAAAATCTATTAAAAGAGAGAGAGAGAACTCTTCAATCATTTGATAGGTACTTAAGCGTATACATATTCATAAAAAAAATAAAAAAAAAAGAGGCATAAAAAATCACCTATATATATTATAAACATATATTGATTATGCATTTTATTCCGTATTAGAAAATTATCACGCGTGCATGTGTGTGTATTCGTTATCTCATAGTCAATCTCTCTTTTTTTCGGCATTTTCATAAAACAATTTAAAGTGCAATCTGTCAGAGCAGAACCTGCGTTCGTGTTCTTCTCTCTCTCTCTTTCTCTCTTTTATATTTTTTTATTTTTAGGACGTTTCCTACACTTGAAACCTACACGGTGGTACACCGAGTACTTTTTACCTCGAGGCACATGCGCCCTACTTTTCGATTCTCAACTCTTATTACAAAATGCTAACGACACGCGTCTTTCAACAAATACACACGCGCACGCATGTATACGAGCAGATACGCTTTATAACAATGGACTGAAATAAACGATAAAAACGGTAATTGCTTTTTTTAGACGTAATAAACGAAATTAGTAACAAAACTTCTACTTACGTTCAATTTCGTGCAAGCTTTCCTTTTCAATTCCTGAAGACTTCGACAAGCTACGCCGAACTTTCTCGTACGATTCACATCTGTTATCTTGTAACCCTTTAACTAGAATCAAAAGGGAAACGAGCTTAATTACGATTTATTCTAAATGGGTTAAGATCGGCGATACGAATCGTGAGAATAAAAGAAGAATAAATTTATATTTCATTAAAATAACGTATTATATTGAAAATCAATACGATATTAAATATTAATTGGCGTATTAAAATCAAATTTGTAAGCTGCATGTATATATATATAAGCTGTTATTAAAAATATTAGTTATTCCTTCTATTACATATGCATATATAGAATTCTGAAAACAATGTTTACTTTATACGCGAGTTCTTCAATTAGTAAACCAATAAATATGCAGTATAAAACGATCGATTACACGGACGAAATACTATCCATGCAAACGCGTACAATGAACAGCTAGAAGAAGAAGAAGAAAAAAAAAATAAAAATTCAAAAAGACGCGCCGCGCCGTTCAATCATGATGGTTCAAGGCCATGAAAATATCAGAGAAACAGTCGTCACAGTTTTTCCGGTTGACCCACATTATACTCCTCCGTTACCCAATCCCAGAAACCGGAGTGAATCTCCATCGTATTCAAAGGCAAACAACACTGAAAGAGAAATGAATTTCAAGCTGGTTGCAACTTGATGCAGGCTTAATTGAACTTTGACTGGTGTCACGATTTCGACATTTTCACCCTTTTGTTATGCTGCTTCAATCAACCAACGAAACGAACAAAGGTGTAAATAAAACTAAGCAAGAATTAAACGGGGCCAACCTTTTTTTGGCTCTTAAACAATGAAGCCAAATAATAATAATAATAATAATAATAACAAAGGTGTATTACGAATAAAAGAAATCGATCGTGAATTTCAATCGTTGGAAATTTATTTTGATATTCTGAATAAAATAGGAAAGAAAAATAGAAATTAATTAAAAATACATACTTCGCTTTTGTAAGACGTGTCAGTCAATCGGCGAAAGCATTCGGCGATGAGCGACATGATCCCTCTTCTTCTTTTTCTTCTTCTTTTCTTCTTCTTTTCTTCTTCTTCGAGTGATCACAAAGAATAAAAAGAAAAATGGGGTAGTTCTTCGTAAGACTTGTTTTTCTCCCTTCTTTCTATATCTAATGCGTTCTTCTTTGTGTCAAAACGTCACAGCCAGCTGTTTGCCAAGGTTCCTTCTCTCTCTCTCTCTCTGTTACCCTTCTTCTTTTTTTTCCTTTCTTACCCCTCTTGTCTTCAAGCGTATACGACCCTGACACTGACAACGTGTTCGTGGTTCACTAACAATCTTTTAAAGTTAAAAAAAAAAAAGAAATAACACAAAACATGAGATAAATATATGTGTATGTAAAGAGTAAGAGAAGAAAAGATAAAAGATAAGAGAGTTGAATGTATCTCTCGACCGTGAGAAATGTTTAAAAGTTGCAATTGACAAAGATAGAAACAGAATGATAAGGAAAATATGATAGGAGAGGGGGTAAAACGATGCTAACGAAGCCTGTTGCCTTGCCGTGAAGACGGGAACCGGAAGTGCACGCGCGTGTCACAAGTTTCTGCAATGGGGTGAAGAAGACGGAAGAACGCGCGGAAAGAGATAGACAAAGAGATTCTTCCTGTGTTAGACGCGATCCTTACAATACTCGAGGAAGGAATGACGAACAAGCCTTCCGAGGAAAATGCACAGCCAAGGAGGACGGGGATTAAAACGGTGCGAAGTGCGCCTGCGAGACACCGTCCGTGTATCCTGCAGTTACCGTATTCCATCTAGATGGCGCCATCTATCGGCATGCGCAGTTATCAGCGCAGTGACTACACTTCCATCGACAACGATTACGAGAGTATCTATTTCTTTTCTAACCTTTATTTTTCTACTCGCATCGGTTAATATTCTTTTATAAATAAGTATAATTTATCGTGATATTATTGCCGTTTATTCATTCAATTTATTTAATTAAGTGTGATATTTTATATTGGTAATTGTGTGTGATATTGTTTTTCTTTGATACTATATATATTAGATGGGTTATACTTAGTTTAGATTTAAGAAATGAGAAAGTATTGGTACAGTGTAATATTATATGCAATTTATATTTCATTTAATGCAAATGATATCAAAGGATAAGAATAGATGATTATTTTTTATATTAGTCGCAAATGAAAGATGTCAAAAGCAGAATTATGTAGATGGTCTCTGTTTCAGTAGCAATTATAGTGTTGTCGTTGTCAATGAAAATTGTATCATAGCTTGTCGATTAACAATGCTTCTCATAGAAATCAATGTAATGATGCATGAAGTATACAACATTCTAAATATATTTTTTTTAGATAATTACAATCATGCATTGGATTTAAACTAGTATTAAGTTTACAGATACCGAACAATTATAGAAATAAAGTATGTTAGTATAGTTTATTATATCGTTTATTATTTTCAAAGCATTGATTTAAATAACATTTATGAATTGTTTATTATAAGTTATTTCAAATATATTAAATGAGCAGTATCTCATTAAGGATAATTATAAATTAATTAGATATGTTGTTTCTCATTAACATATTGATTCATTCAAAGTCAAATTAATGAATGCAATTCAAAAGAGGAACAATGAGCTATAATTAAATCTTCTATATTACAATATAATATATTAATAATACTTGCGAATTGAATTCCATTCAAACGTAGAAAGAGAATGTTATATTACTGTAATAAAAAACAACAAAGAAACACTTTATATATATATATAACTGTAGTTCTGCAGACTCGATCGACTCGTCATCTGGTGGGCGAGAGGATTAAATTCATTGTCATTTGAGTTGTTGCAAACATTGTCTTTTATTTATTGAATTAAAAATAGGATAATTTTCAATCTTATCAAAAATACAATTTTTGTAAATAAAGCAATCTTTTCTAAATTCCAAACAAGTAATTTTTATACTTTATAAAAAAAGAAGACAAGAGCTTTACTTGAATAGTTATATGCATTACATTTTCTTTAATTGATATAAAAATATAAGTAAATGTAAAATAACAAAAAATGTAATTTATAAATAATATTTTTGTATACTTCGGTTGTCTCTCTTTCTCTCTCTCTCTCTCATTGTATTTGCCAGCGCTGTCATCGGTTTCTAACAAATAGTCGATAATATAGAGTTCTATATAAACATGATAAAGATCTGTACACATGATGCATCCTATATATGCAGTTTCTGGAATGTTTATTTTCAAGAGAGTAAGTGTGGATAGACGTGGTACTAAAAAAATAATATTTCAACAGCAAGTTATCGATTGAGCATCTTTATGCAGTTAATAAAAATATATATCTGTAGTAGGTTTACATTGTCATTTGGATTACTATTTGTCCTATCGTAGTTTTCTTATTTTTATTTTATTTTTTAAATTCTTAGATCACATCGAGCATTCCTTAATTAATGACAAATTTATTGCGACAAAACTTATACAGACAAATAAAACATCGATCGTGCGAGTTTAAAATTCATGAAGTATACTATTCGAAATTAATAACCAACCACTGTATTCATCGAAATTTCTCGAGCAATTTGTTACCTTCAATGTAACTCACATTAACATTTTCATCGCAAATTATATTTATGAAGAAACTTTCAATGCGGTAAAGAAAAAGAAGAAGAAATAAAAGCAAAAGAAACAAACGAGATATGTGCAAGATATTAAAATGAAAAAAATAAAAACAAAAAAAGAAGAGTTATCCCTATCATACACGTATTTATTTATATCTACAACAATGTAATTAATTTAAAAATATTCCAATTCGTTAGATACACATGAATATTTCATTTGCATGATTGAAGAACCAGTGCACTGCATGACAGGGGATCTAAAATAAAATTGAATTATTTTATTTAAAAAGTCAGAGAGAGAAAGAAAGGAAGGAAATTCCTAGAAGCAACAGTCGGTATAATTCAAATCGATGTATTTTTTTTTCTCTCTCTCTCTCTCTCTCTTTGTTGTAAATAGTTTAGTTAAAGCTGCCAGGAAAATAACAATTTTAAAGATGTTGCTCGAATAAAAAATAAAGGAAAAAAGAAAAAGACAGACCTTATTAGGGCATAAGTGTTGGAAAAGATTTGGTCGTCCGCAATGTACGGTGTATATACGGTGTCCCAGTTTGTTCAAGCGTATGGCGTCGCGCGTATCGAGTTGTCTCGGTCTCTGTCTTTCGGAAGAAATAAGTGCGCAAGAGTGAGATGGAGTATAAGAAAAATAGGAAATGGTGTGGGGAGAAAGTATGGTATTGAGCTTGCGCCGTGCTTTCGTAAGGCGCGTCCTGGTCTCTCCGGACGAGACCGGAAAGTGGAGAGGGCTTTATTCGTCGGCGAGCTTTCGTCGTGGAGAGGGTGCGCGCGCGCGTGCTAACTCGAGGAGAAGAGCAGGAGGAACAAGAAGAAGAAGAAGAAGAAGAGAAAGACAAAGGAAGAAGAGAAGCTGGAGGAGAAGGAAGACGTCCGTTTCACAATTTTTCCTATTTTTTCTCTAACGATAAGCCGAAATTTGTCGTTTTAACGAGGAAAGGGGAGATTTTGTGAAGAAGGAAGGAAGTTTAGAGAGTAGTAGACCAAAAACAAGAAGAAAAGTTGAATTGTCGCGAAACGACAGAAAATAATAATAAGAAGAAGCTTAAGAAGAAGGAGGCCGGTGGTGGTGGTGGTGGTGGTGGTGTGCTGGTGGTAGTAATAATAGTAGTAGTAGTACTAGAGGACTAAAGCGTCGGTCGATCGTAAAAATGTAATGACCCGGCGACGAGAGAGGGAAAAAAGTTAGAGCTACACTCGGAAAGTTTTAGCAGCGAGAAGCTACGTCGTAACTTTAAGAACGAAGAAGCACCACCGACAGGAAAGCTCATGGCGTGAGATCTCGAACAATCGACCGGAAGGGATTCGCGGCTATCGTTTCTCTTTTCTTATTTTCATCGTCTCTTAGCGAGCAACTCGAGCGAAAAGCTCGACCACAAGTATCAGGTAAGAGATACTCTCTAAGCTATACATATATAATAATACATCGTTATGTTCTTTAATTTCATTTCTTGCAATTCTGTTATAGATTTTTTTTCTTTTCTCTACTCTTAATTGTGTAGTTTATTTTGATATGTTGTATACATATTATTGTTCGTAACAGTCACGTTCAACCTTTGCCTATTGTTCAAATGTTATTCCCGCAACAGGTTACGATTGATGATCCACGGCTCTCGAATGAAAACAATGATATAACTCGCGGAGCTCGAGGGCTCAGGGCTTCCTTCCTCTTCATTTTTCCCCTTCTCCGCTCTCTTCTACTCTTTCTCTCTTTCTTTTTCTCTCAAATAGTTCGGTTTCGTAGCGTGGGTTACTCAAATGTCCTTCCCTCTTCTTCTCTATTTCGAAATTTTGTTCCTAACTTTATAACGTCTCGAATAAAGTTTCTTTACTTTATTAGATTATTATATTCCTATACGTAGCCAAATCAGATCCTTATAATCGATTATTTGAAAATTGCTAAGTAATGTCATCGTTGCGTGTTTTTCAAGATACCAATCCATAAGCCGGCAAAGTCAATATTCTATTAGAATTCAAACATACTATTGAAATTCGGTCGATCTCCTAACGAGATTAACACACAATTTTAACTTTTATTTAACATTAATAACTTAATTATTGTATTATATTTATTTTTTATGTTATGTTGGTATTATCGATACACTAACCTAACGTCTTATACATCATCTTGACAGGGGTTGATCCATCGGAATGGGGGGTGATTCACGATATAGTTCCTGGGTTTACGTCATTTGCAATATCTTGTTATACAAAACAGAACTTATACTATATCTATATAGGTTTTTTCATAAATATAATAAATGTAATCTAGAAAATAATCACTATACTTAAAATCTCATTATACTTCACGTATACATTCATTTTGATATGTGTGTGTATGTATACTTAAATACATGTTTAGACCTTATATATAATTTGAAAAGATTTAATGTATTTATTATATACGTTTATTTTTAAAAAATTGTATTATAGCTGTAAAAAGTTGGGAACATAATTTCTTGTATATTCTCTCGTTATCTCTCTCTCTCTCTCTCTCTCTTTCTCTCTTGCTATTTCTATCTCTCGTTTTTCTCTCGTAAAAGAAAATCTTGTTAGTCTTTTCTCAGAACATATATTATCAACGAAGTGAGCTTTCTTTAAGGTCAAAGAAAGGTAAAGCAGGAGGGTTAAAAGCCCGGTCGATCCTTCGATGCGCGACGACTCGAGCCGTTCTTTGCGCGAAGGTAAACACTGGATCGGTCGATGACTGCTGCGCAATGCAATTTTTCTACGAATAATAATTAAAACTAAATAAATAATCATTTCATTTAATTTCAATTTCAAAAAGTTCTTCTTCTTTTTTTTTCTCTTTTTTTCTAGACTTTTGATTTTTCATTCATCGTTAAAATGCATTTTTAACCGTAATTGAAGTTGACAATATATTTGAATCGACAATTATTCTTTTTTATTCGTACGAAACGAACATATATTATATCTATATATTTATACATATTTAAAAGAGTGTGTCCAAAGTAATAGAGAAGAATTGTATTATTTATGAACATCGTTCGTGCACGGTAATAAATTCGTAGTTAATAATTCGTAGTATGAAACAAATTCGCATAAAATTATCATATGTTGTGTCGTTTATAAAGTCAATTTATGTGTGAGAGAATATAAATATTGGTATTAAGAATTATATTAATAATTTTAATTGGATATGAAGTATTTATTAAAATACTTATTTAAAATCTAAATATAAGCATTTCCTTAATAATAATTTTATATATACAATTTTGAGATCAGTTTATAGAAAGATACGGAATTACTTTGTCCCTTGAAATTAGTTTAATAACTTTTCGATCAGTTGTGTTAATTAACAAAATTTGAAGTAATTTAAAATTCAAATGAATTTTAATCCATGATGATGAATATATTATGTATATAACGTGAATAGATTTAAAGTAATTCAGATTTAGAATATGTTTTTTTAATCTTTCAAAATGGTATAAGAGATTTTCTCGAAGACAACCAACAGGAAGCAGGGTACATTTGCTTTTACTCGAAATAAAAGCATGTGCTTTCGAACTATACCATGTAGCATTAGGCAAATGCTTCTATTTCTGTGCCTAAGAAATTTTCGTATTTATTCGGCGCATGTTAAGAAAGGCGTGTTCTACCAGAGTACCGTACGAAAGCAAATGCTGTTGGACTTTTATTCGAATTACGCAAATCGTATTAAGCAATTTGTTCAAACCTGTTGTTATATTTCATACATTTTATTCTTACTGAAGTAATATTTCTGTTGGCCGATGTTTTAGAATAAGTACGCAAATGTACATAACTGATGAGAGTAACGTAATTAAATATTCTATTTCATCATTCTATGTGTATATTTTAGATTAACCGTATGCGAATATTTTAAAGTAACGTTATCTTTATTTAACTTTCAATTAATAAATTGGCATAAAATAGCAAACCAAATAAGATCCTATACAGGATATAATTTACATTTAACACATATAAATAAAACGTTAAAAAGAAAGAAAGAAAGAAAGAAAGATCGAAAATTTGCATCGATAAATCATAAAAATTAGTCTACAGAGAAATGATTCTATTTGAATCTTAGAAGCAAGAAATAGTAAATGCGGCAACTTTGGTGATATTATCTTTGGCACAGATAACGGATCTTTTAAACGGTGCACTAAAAATTCAATACTGTATACTGCACAGGAAACAATGGCAAATGGTCGTACACATACACAAATGCACATATGTATAAAATTCTACATATATGTATCGATGATGCAATATAATGATTAAGAGTAGGAGGAGGAGGAGGAAAAAGAGTCGATCGAAGGTCGAAGAAGGACATTCGAGGGTATGTAGGTAGTTCGGTATGAGACTCGATCGAATCCATATCTCGAATCGGAGGATTAATAGACGGGTTTTGACGACGATGGCAAATCAAACACTCTCACGTTAGCGGCTCCGAAGAGCTTTAAACGCGTCGAGTGGCGAGTGTTCGACACACACACGTATCTCGGCTGCAGTTGAAGCTTTTCCGTGACGTAGCCGGAGCTTTTAACGACAGGGAAAGAGTAGACTAGGCTTTTGGCAGTGTTTGCTTTGGCCGTGCTGTACTTTGTTAAGTCGAAACGACTCTCATTTGATTTTTTTTCTTTATTTTTATTTATTCCGAACTAAATCGACTGTAGTCAACCAGAGAGAAGAAAACATTCGTTTAGTAAATTTTAATCTATAGATATTATATATCTCTTTTTATGTAGCTAATCGTATTTCGATACAACACGAATGAGGTATATTTTTGTAGATGTATTTGTATGTATAGATCGCAAGCATTGCACTTGAATCGCTTCAGTCTTGTTACCACTAACTACCTATACTCGGAACTGGTATAACCCAAGTGTTATTTGTTAAAATATCATCAAGCAAATATTTTTATGCCTCTTGTCAATATTTGCATCTTTCTGAACGAATTCGTTTAATCTTACATTTTTATCGCCAAGGTTTTGAACATGTAGAAAAGTATTGTGTAAGATACGAGTAATATTGAGTGAATAAAATCGACCGATGCGTTGCATCTATAATGCATAAAATACGATGGGAATTTTATTAATATACAGAATTGCTTTGTTTTCTACGACAATTTTTATGCTATTTTCTAAAGCTCTATTGCTATTCCAATATTATTGAATAGTTTCGAGTAATGTAAAGGAAATATCTCTCTCTTGAAGAAAAAAAAATATATCTTTTTCTTATTCTTTTTCTGTATATAGAAGTGTTAGATATCGATATTGTAATATTATTCAATTTAATCGGATTTTACGCAACTATAAATATTTAATATCTTTCACCTAGATCCCTACTATATGTTTGTTTTATTTTATTTCAAACAAATTCTTCATACGACGTTGTAAGGTTTAAATCGTATTATAGATAATTCTATCTCCTTCATTCTCTCTTTTTTTCCAATTCTCAACATTTCTACAACGTTCGTCATTGTTCACAATCAATTAATGAGATTTGTCAAAGCTTTAAAGATTTCTTAGCACCTATGTAGACGATACGAACTATACGAAACGATCAATTTTGCACGCGATATTGATCTAAAACGATTAGAAACGTTTAGGTTGAGTCTTCTTATTTAACGACTACATAATTCGAATTTGTTACATATACACCGTTCGCTAAATAAATTTAATTTCTTTTAAACGTAAGCTTATATATTTAAATATACAATCACATTTTCGTTTGAAAATAGTTTTGTAATAATTGCAAGTGCTAATTATTCGCAATTCAGTATCAATACAAAATTGAATATTCTCGAAATTGCAAGCTCGCCATAGTTGCACGTATATAAACAGAAATGTACGAAAACTCGTGGACGAGATATCCTCTTTCAGTAGAAAGGTGAATCGATTTCGAAGGAACATGACGATCTGCTGGCAGTTCGAAAGGTCACTCGCATGACCCACATTCAATTTGAACGCGACGCAATATTCATGCAGTACCGCACGAAGAACTTATATGAACTTTAATTCTAATAACGTACGGATGCATGTGTCCAATGACAAAGATCATTTGTCGTTGATAAGGACAATTTTTAAAGGTGTGACTCGATAAGGTAGAAAGCTATAATTTTATTTATGAAACGTCGAGGAAATTCGATTCATCGTCCAACGACGTGTAAAGTTCTACTTTTTTTTTTTTTTTTTTCATTTTAGACGAAAAAGCATGAAAAATAATTAGCGAAATAGCGAGGAGTAGTAGTAGTAATAGATGACGAGCTTTTGAGCTGACAATTAGATTCTTTTTTTTTATATAACTTTGTAACATATTTAAATGCTCGTATCCACTCAACGAAAGCTTTTACCGTCGATCGATCCTTGCTAATGGTAGCCACATTCAGTCCAAGTATTGTA